TTTATTCACAGTGGCAATACCTTACGGGATCAGTCCTTTGATGTTCAGTAACTATTATTTACAAATCAAAAACCACGACGGTTCAATCGGGTACTATCGCCAGAACATCATGAATTTGTACTTTGCCGTATCCGATGAAACGTACAACGCAAACTATTATATAATATTTTTCTTGGTTGAGGTATTATTCACCGAATTCACCTGTTTAATAAACTCAATATTCGATATTCTCCTGTTTTCACTATGTCTTGGTATGTGCTGTAGGATGGAAATCATTTGCTCTGCGTTTGAATCGGTCGGACACAAACTACTTCTTGGCACTCATTGTCCAACTAGTGAGTACGTTTACCATTAATGTTCATTGAATAGTGTACAAGTAGCCTGTAGAAAAATTGAAAAAATATATACACACCAGTCGTCGGTCGAATTGTCTGAACTTCGAAAAACCGAAGCACACTTAGATTTTTGAACCTAGTTTTAACAAAACTAAAAAAACCTTAAGATTTTTTTAATTTTATAATATACTTAATTATTTATAGCTTAGGATTTTGTTTCGTAATTTATTTCAAAAGCTAGTCTCAAGTTCGGTTCGGTATAAGCTAGAATACTTACATTACATAACCAGTAGATCGTTTAGTTCGGTATCTTTTCGTTTATTTTATAATAGTATGAACTACTTATCAGAAACCTTGTATAAGATTTTCAAGCTGTTGACACAGGGATATTTTATTATAGACAATTATAGATAAAATACTTAGATTTAAATGTTTACAGATAATTCGAAAATGGTCGAAATATTTTGAAAAGTGTGTTATAGCAAACAAAATGCAATTATAAAAGATATATTATGGTGAATATTTCATGTTTTTTTGGTTAATTTTATTTGAGTTACAACAAATAATGAAATCGATTAAATACCATGTAGTCGAAAACTGGTTAAAAAATAGCAAAAATTAAGCAGCTTGACATAAATAAACCGTTTTACTACAAACATTCTTAAAAAATTAGATTTTCAAACTGACTGCTTTGAATTTTTCTAAAATATATTCACTTCATTCATCCTAAGGTCTGTCTTGGCTAGTTTCCATATTTTACGAATTATCATCAACTACCTACTAAGACAGTCATGGAAGAAAACTATGTTCGATAGCTAGTTTCTAATAGCAACCCAACTTTTCAGAATTTGCGAAGGCTATAACATAATTCGTATATAGAAACTAACCAAGTCAGACCTTAGGCTTCAAAGCATTATCCTAAGTGATAAGAAGAAATTATATTTCATGTTGTTATAAATAAATTTCAGGACTGACCATTGAACTTGACATCCATTTAGATCTCACTTCTTTTGTCGTTGAAGTCAACAACCAAAGCATATATTACATAATTGAACTTGGCTATCATTTTACATATATGTTTTGTTGGGATATCATTACTTTTTGTATGTAAATTTTTAATAGCTATTTATTCATAATAAAATTATTTCCAAATGGTTTTTATTGAACTATTGTATTTTCCTACGTTTACAGGTTATAATTTTTTTTTGTGTTATTTTTTTTATGTTTGAGTGAATTACCCATTCAGTATCTGGAATTTTTTTTACGCGTTTTCTATTTATATTTAATTTGGCCAAGTCGGGGCGGTATAGCGTGCGCAGGCGGTTGTACTCTATTATTATTATTACTACTTACTACTCTACTATTATTTTATTTCTTTTTGAGCATATTTTTAATGATCACAATTTTATTGACTATAATTTCTAATGATGGGTGGGTAATTCACAATTTGTAAGAATAATTATTTAAATATTTTAATTTTAATGTTTAAAAAAAATAATATTAATTACATACATATATTGTCGAAAATATAGACACATATTCGGCTGGACGTATTTTTAGAGCGGCGATACGGGAAAGGTTATTTAAGTCAACATTACATTACTGTACATTAAATTAGAGGCAATTAATTAATTAATTAATTGAAAAATTAAACATAATAGATAAAATAATTGCAAAATTATAATAAAATCAATTGATTAAAAAATTCAAAATTCAAAATTCAAAAATTTTAAATTCAAAATTTTCAAGTTTCTGATTTTTTCCTTTGTATTAACCTAACTACCTATCTGTATGCCAAATTTGAACTTTCTAGGTCATCTGGAACTGGGTTAGAATTTTGATCTATAGGTCAGTTAGTGCTAAAAATGACGATTTTCGGACGTTAATATCTAAATAACGGTTTGAGGTGTGTTTATGAAATTTAGAGCACATATGTATCTGGTTAGTCTCAATATATGAGCCAAATTTGACATGTTTATATGGAATAAGTTTTGAGTTATGAGGAGGTCAAAAGTGGCTCCAAATGGTTCGTGTAATATTACACACGGTGCTTATCGCCAGTTCTGTTAGCTTGAACTTGGCTTAACACGCTACCGCGTGTCTAGATTTGAAAAAAATGTTTTATAAATATATTCGCTAAAATTCGCTTGAAAATTTTAACCTAACCAAGAATTTAAAATAAATTATAGGTATTTAATTGATTGGCAATGATGAATACATTATGCATAAATATTATTAATAATTCTGTGGAAAGCCGACCTGATGCGTTGAGTGGTGGATGGCTGCAGACAATAGTGTTTACCAGGGGTATAAGAACCGTCTGGAGTCGGAAACCAGGTTTTAGAGTCATACCTACCCCACATAAAAATACAATAGAATATATTAATAAATCAGTCTAGTAAGGACCCACCCATAGAAAATGTAAGTGAGTTGCCATAATAAATTACACATGAACATGCAACATTGGGCAGCTCAAATGAACCGCTGTTAGGATAAAGCGATAGGACTACAAAATTACTTGTACTGATGTTGTGTAAGTGTTCTACAACAATTAGACAGAAACTAATTTTTGCACATTTGATTGATGAACGATTGAAATCGTCCATTAACTATTAACTAGGTAAAATGATTTAATCAGTTTTATTAAAATTATTTAAACTAGAGTTTGATAACAATTAATAATATTTTTATAGGAAACGAGGATAACAAAACTTTCTTTTACATTTTAAGATTTGTATATTTTTGACGATGGATATTCGGAATGAGACGAATAATATTTTCAACTTAAAGTTGGCCAAACTTACAGGTTTGTATCAAATGATAGATCCTGGAACAGCACAATTTCGGGGTCGAAACATCTATCATATTGGCATGGTATGCGTTTTGCTTTACGTGTGCCCCATAACGATAATACTGATCCTTAGTGGTCTGTACTATTGGACTGTCAATATACCTGTAAGCATAGATTTTCTCTGGAAGTCACTTATCACGTTGTTCATAATTTACAAGGGATGGTTTGTCGTCCACCACTCAGACGACATATGGAATTCTCTGACGATCACGCGGGATGAATTTTCATCGTTCAGGAACCGGAACATACTTATTGTGAATCATTGGGGAGAACGTTTTGTATGGTTATCGAAAATATATTCAACGATCTATTTCATGGTTTTATTCAGCGTTGGGATCGGTCCCTTAGCATTCAGTGATTATGTACAAATCAAAAATCACGACGGTTCAATCGGGTGTTACCGCGAGAACGTCATGAATTTATATTTCACTGGATCCGGCGAAATGTACAACGCACACTATTATACGTTCTACTTCATCGAGGTATCATTCTTCGTCTTGACCGTGTCAATATTCTTTATGTTCGATATTCTCCTGTTTTCACTGTGTCTTAATATGTGCTGTCAGATGGAAATCATTTGCTCAGCTCTTGAATTGGTCGGACAAAAAACACTTCGTGACTCTCATTCCAAGATTGGTGAGTATGACATTAAGTACATCGAAAAGTGTACACGTGTTTTCAGTAGTTTTCGGTTTTCGTGTTTTTGCAAATTTTGTTGATTCCTATTATTAAAACTGCGAACCACTAATAATGCTGATTATGGTGAGCTCACAAAGTAACGCATATTTTGTGGTCAAGTAATTTATTCCATAACATAAGAAATAAAAGTGAAGTTTAATATGAAAATATCACCTTTAACTCGCCGGTTGTCATTTGCGCATCGCTATTGTTAATTTAGACCTTTTTTGTAAGACATTTGCGCATCGTTCGATTTTTGGGTTATATATCATTTGCGCATCAGCCGTTTAAAAGGTCTTACATCATTTGCACATCAATATTATTTAACAATAGAATTTTAAAAAAGGTGTACACCCAAAAGTGCTAGTTGTTTTCTAACTTTGATCTTGAAATTCATTCATCAACTTTCAAATATTGTACAGATATTTCTGTTTTAAAATATGTTTGACGACGCATATGGTAGAGAGAAATGGAGAGATTTTGTGATAGCAGCGATGGCACTTAATGGGCCGATAAGCTGAGAATATTGAGATAATATTGTGTAGGATTATCATTATAGTTATCAATAACATAACTAAGATAAAAAAATTGTTATGCCTCAATAAAAATTGATGAACATTGAAGATTTATTCAATTTATTTTAATTATATGGGTTTGTTTATTACATATGATTTATGAAAATCATTACATTTTCAATGAAAAACTATTTTTTATACAATTCTATTGTTCAGCATGTTGATGCGCATTTGATGTATAATAATTTGGTGCAGGTAAAACGGACAATGCGCAAACGATAATTAGCGCTGATGCGCAAATGATGTACGATATTTTGGCACAGGTAAACAGACGATGCGCAAATGATGTACGGCCCTTTAACTTTGCTTCACTAAACCCAACGTAAGATAGCGGTGTATGGTTAATTGATTGTGAAAACAAGAATTCAAAATTAAAACTTGACATTTCAGTAAAAATCATTTTTGTTTACATTTCATTAATTTGTGTTTATATTTTGTAATGAGTTCTAATTTTAACATTTATTCCTTTTTCTGATTTTTCTTTTTTTATATTTACAACTAAAACTGAATGTCTACAATTTACGTATGTTTTATGATAGTCAAATTATTTTCATTGACCGAATGAGTCTTCTTAAAAAAAAACGTGGTATGGTGTTATGCATTCCACAATTTGCTAAGACTTTTAATAATTACTGAATTTTTGAAATATGAACACATTTATTTTATTTTCTTGTAGATAACCAAGATGAAAATAAAAAGATAATACCTAATGAACACAATATTTTAATATACTACGAATTAAAAAAAATTATAATAGAACATCAAGCAATAATGGAGTAAGTCTTAATTTTATTTTTATTTATTGAATTACTACCAAGTATTATTTCATTTCAACTTTTAAATGAAAAAAAAACCTTAATTATTAAATATGCATGAAAATAATCATTAATTATTTATTTCGACGTATCCAGGATAATTTAGGTACGGTCTAAAGTTAAAGTTAAAGTATAATGTATAATATAAACTAAACATGTAATATCAATTTAATTATAATTAACAGTATTACTCGAACTAAAAATTACTAAAATAATTATTATTTTTCAAAAAACGTAATATTGGTGTTTAAATTAACGGCATTCATAAACACTGTATAGGTGTTATTCAGTCTTGGACAGAATTTTGAATACTTTTAAAATACTTTCCTCATAAGCATTCTAAATAACTACTAAGAAGTTACGGTTTACTATAAACTATATTGCGAATTGAGCGGTGCTTCAAAATGTTAACCTTTAGATGTCGGTTGCCGAGTGTATCACCTTAAGTTAATCCAAATGACTTAAAACGGCTCTGACATTCTTTTTTTTCCTAGGAAATATGAAGATTTTTTAACAAGATTCAGACCAGTGATGTTGTTACAAATTTTTGTATCATCATTCTTGGCCATCATGCTTTGGATTACTTTCATAATGGTAAGCAATGATGTGATATTTAGATTTGATTACAATAACATTGTCACATCAATTCAATATGTTTTAATATTAAAAGTGCATGCACAATTTATCATAGTGTTGTAAATGTTAAACTCTCGCCGATAAATGCACGTCCAGTATTATATGAGTTTTAGAAGTATTGTTCTATCCCTCCAATGCAGGAACACATTTTACGAAAAATATGTTCATAAAAATTGCTAGATTCCGTACTTAATTTATAATGATGGTAGGTAGGCACTTGTAGGAAATCAATCATTTTTTGAATTACCTATTTGTTTTGTTAATAAAATATCAAATTGTTTCAAATGATCCACTATCCAGTTCCATTCAAAATTAATAAAATATTAGATTCATTGATGTGTAAGTGTTGCATAGTATTTAAGAACTATAACTTGGGAAATGATATCTTATGTGAAGTAAAATGATTTCAGAGTTTCTCAAACGTTGAGATATTTAAGGCTTCAGCAGTTGTACTAACAAGATTGTTGTTCACAATTCCTCCAATATTGATTCAATTATTTATGATCTGTTCTTTATTTGGAAATATACACAAACAAGTAATTAATATGTTTTATTTATTAATTGTTGATCCGGCATGTATGGCTTGTGAATTGTAACGATACGATTACTTACAATTATATTATTTAAATGAGCACAAGTAGATATATGATACATCATATATTTTATACATAGCAGTAGATATATTTGCATTAAATACACCAATTAATGTTAAAAATAAATAGTACCGAAATTATGTTAAATATATTAACGATATAGAGTGTGATTAATGTATTGATCATACAATGTATGAACCAAAATGTAATTTTATCAATCAAAATATTATGGAACGCTCAATCTTTCCCTTTCGTCTAAATTTAGTATCATTTAAATATAATATTTATAAATGAATCTAGACAACAGAGATAAATTTTTAAGTAGAAAATTCAGTTTTCCATACTTTGAAAGAAAAACTATAAACATACAGCCTGTAAAACAATTGTCGGATTTAATGAATTTTAAAGTCCTGGGTTTAAAATGACCATTATTTTTATATTTAACCTTTTTTTTATTAAAGAAAGATTCAATTGTATTCGCATTGTACAGCAGTAATTGGACCGAAATGGATATGAAATGTAAAAAATTGATATTATTGGCAATGAAGTTGAATAATGCTAACTACAAAAAATTAAAATTTACCAGAACTAAAATTGTAAACTTGGAAATGTTTTTTAAAGTAAATACTCATGTCTAATATAGTTATTATTCAACATATAACATTTATCACTTTTATAACATTATAAATTATAGTCTAAAGCAAATCTTATAGAAGTAGTATTCTACAACCATAATCCCTAACTTATTAGTTAGTTAGATAATTATTTATTTTACGTTTTTTTTTTTTTAATTTAATAAAATTAAATAAAATGTATTTCCAATATTTACTCGGACATATTAAATTTGTTTGAAAAATTATGATATAAATACTATATTAATATATAAGTCCTATATTTTAGAATATAGAGCAGTGTTTCAAGTTTCTGTAGTTCATATTTTCTTAAATAAAAGAAAATTACAAAAATTATTTTAGTACAAATATTTGTTATACTTAAACATTAAATATTGAAAAAAAAATGTGTTCATATATATTTTTAATATTTTTGAGTTTGATATAAGAAAAACTTATAATACGAATTTCAATGAGGAGATGTAAAATAAATACAATTTGCTCATTTTTTTGATTTTTAAAAAATTATATGATGTATAATAAATAATAACATTTGTCTTTAATCAAATTATTTCGGTCATTTATAAATTGTTATAAATATGTATGTATGTTTTTTGGAAACTAATTTTTTTTTTTTTTATCACAGACAGTGGGTGATTGCTACACAGTTATTTCGGTTTTAGTAAATTATATACAACAAAATGTTGAATGAATTTTGTTCGGGTGTATTTTAAATTTAGTAATGTTTAGTATCCTAATTATTCTATTCTAATGATAAACCTAGTTCTTTAGATTATCTAAATTACCCATAACTTATAACGTATCATTGTAGTCAATATATAGCTGAATGGATTATTATGATTATGTAACAGTTTATATAGAGTTTATTTTATATCATTAAAATAAAATATTTATTAGCTTATTTTTTTGTAATTAATTAAACTCATGTAAAAAATGTGGGCCGTTGGTTGCATCTCTGCTGTACATTATAGGTGTCTTGTAGCTGTAGCACACAGTTATGAATGTGTTAAATTTTAATCCAATAATTATATTAAATCATTGAATACGAAAAATGGTTCTGAACATTCATGAAAATTAATAATGCTAACAACAAATGTTATGATTCAAGAGAATTTTTATTATTAATGTATTTTAATGTTAGTATTTATAAAATTTATATTTAAATCAATTATAAAAATCTATTGAAATACATTTATGGTACTTTAATTTGCCATCATAATCGCTAACTTATTGAGTATGACAATTGTTATATTAACTTTCAGTTTGTTTTTGTAATTAAAAAAAACAGCAAGTGAGTAACCCTCTGCTGCAAATTAAGTCTAGATAAGTCAGTGTAATGGATGTGTTAAATTTGAATTCAACGATATAAAACCATAAAAAAATAAAACGGTTCTGAGCAAATTATTTAAAGTTAACATTCAACAGATTAAATTTGGGCTTGTTTCTGTAGATAATTGGTTTTACTTTAAAATTTAATTGTTAAAATACTAAATAAATTGTTGTAATAAATTAAAATTGAATTATATAAATGAATTATTAGGTATCATGGTTATGGTTCTAAATACATACGAAACACAACTATTCGACCTATGGTTGGGTGGTTTCAATCCTTGATATTTATTGGATTTTACGCCACTATACATCATAAAGGTATCTATAATATTATATGCATCAACTTCGTCCGCTTATTTATGTACCTACAAATAAAATTGTTGAGTCTAAAATACTGCGAATAAAGTTTAAACGTGGGGTTTTTTCGTTAATATTGTATACAATTTCATGATGTATAATTATAAAAAGTTGCAGTTGCATAGTTTTATGGCCTTATGGGTGTATTTTATAAAAACGAAGGCTTAAGGGCTACGAAATATTTTATAGACGTATTTTATTGCGTGACAATAATTATTAAACTTTAAACCTATAATCGTAATTCGTAGTCACTTATAAGTATGATTATTAAATTAGTCAAACGAACCTAACCTGCTATGAAATGTCATTATATTCAAATTTGTTACACAAGTCCATTTTATGAGTCGGCGGTTATCGGCGATTTGCAGTGAATCTACATACAATTTTTATTTTTATAATATTATAACTGACGTTTGAAGACGTTGATATGTTTATCCACCGGTAAGTGTTTTAAATCACTTTTAGCCTTTTAGGTACCTAAATTATGTAAAATAACTGTTTAATATAGATACTTTAACTAAATTATTATAAATGATAATATTGTTATATATTACATGGGAACGATTGAACGAATAACGATTATTCTGAATATTTGGTTCATACATGCAGAAATAACTTGAACAGGTTGTTTTAATGGTTTGTTTGGGTATCGCATGTACATTTGTAATATTTAAGCTAATTCAATTAAAAGTGAGGCGCGTACTCATATAATATATTTGATTATCTGATATAAACGACCGAAAGGTATATTATAATAATATTTAATCTAAATCGCCGACACAATGCACAGTGTTGAGAAACAATACCTAGTGTTAATAAAATAACCCTATTAGTTAAATAATTTAGCCATTTAGAAAGTTGTAGATATTCAATATAATATAATATCAGTAGTTATTTAATAGATAAAATGGAGAATTTTGGTTTCAAACATGACCTAAATTGCATTCATAATTAATTTTGTTGTTCTTTGACTCCAAAATAGTGTTAAATTAGTGAATTACTCGCCTGAGTAATATTTTGACTTTAAAATAAAATCCTACACAGCATATTTTAATATAATTAGATTTTAAATAGGTACTTAAAATTAATAGCTGATACAATATTAAATATATAATTTTTTTATGATGTAAGTTGAAACCAAAATATTACTAAATAGTAAATATTTGAATAAATAAATTCAATTGTGCTTATATTATTAAAAAACAATTGTAGGGAAGGGTATTTCAGGGTTGGTCTATAATATAGACTCTATATAATCGGGCGTAATTTAATATTTTCCCCGGATGTATAAATTATTAATAATCCGCCTCTGGAGGCAAGCTTATGTACAAAGAAGACCAGTTCTAAATATTGGCCGACGCCTGCACGCATCGATTATTAAATTATTTAGGCAAGATAAAAATTAACAAATTGACGTCATGACAACTCAAGACATACGAGTAAGTTACCAATTTTATGTTCTCATGAATTGTTTGTAAATGATATAATATTGTGTAACTTCATAATTTACGTACCTATTATATTGTAGTAAAAAATTGTAATAAAACTAGTATAAGTAATATGATATTTTTGTAAGTTATACTATACAGTGTGATTCTTTTATCATTTTACACACATTATTTCAAATAGTATATATTATTTTAAAAAAAAATTGCTGCATAACTCCTAGTCAGAAGTCGTTAAAAACAATATATCCTTTAATATTTTTTACAGTTAACATTTTTTACGTTTTTTTACTTTTTTGAATGACAACATGGAGTTATAATTTCATATTGCAAAGCAGACAACATGTCTAAGTATTTCGATACATAAAAAACGAACTTAGAATGAGTAGTTTATGAGTCATACGTATTTAAAGTTTCGATGAGTGGAGTGAAGTGGACTGCGGTTACCCCACAAAATGTTGGTCCACTGACCACTACTCCGCTCATATAAACTTTGAATACGTATAACTCATACGCTTCTCGTCCTAATTTCAATTTTTCAGTATCAAAGAAAAATAATCTGCTCTCGGAGATGAAATTAAAACCGTAGATTGTAATTAAAAAAGTAAAAACTGAAAAGAATTTAAGAATAACATTTTTTTCTTTTTTAAATATAATTTTTTAATACAAACACTGTTTTTTAACGACTTTAAACCATGTAGGTAATAGAAACATTTGCAAAAATATTAATATTTTTTTTTGAATACTGAGTGTCCTACGCGGCTTTGCTTAATCACAGGAATCACCTGGTTTAATATTACGTAGCATTGTATAACTTACGTAATGTAGTAATAAAAGAAAATTATACAATTATTAAGTAGGTATATATGATATTTTTGTAAATTATATCATATTATATTATTATGGAGCATTATTTTACAATAGATAAACGGCGCAGGTCGGCGGCGTGCGTTCAGTATACTTATCGAAAGGTCGACAATCGGCACAGCGTCAAGGTAGACTCGATAACCCACAAGTACCTACCATTTACCAACAATATTGTTTAATTGTTTGATTTAGAAGATTAAACATAAAAAAAAAATCTAGGCATTAAGATATAAAAATCGATTTTCTACGAACTGTTGAAATATGCTTAAATATTAGGTTTGCACAAAGTTGTTCAGCATGTCGTTACCCATAAAATATATATTTTTATTAATACTAAACCTACAATAAATCAATACTTTTTCTTATCTGTAATGTCCCCAGCTAATAAACTGATGGCAATTATTTATATAAAATACTATGGAAACTAATTTGAGTGGTGATCATCAGTAATAATGGCCACGGAAAAAATACTTAAAATTGGCCATGGAAATTAAGTTCAACAGATAAAACGGGCAAAGTAAAATCGACTATTATTGCGTAAAATTAAATTACCAACAAAATGTAATTTTAAACAAAATTTAGCTATTTAATTCTTTCAAAAAATACCTATGAGCCGGGTTCATTAAAACGCATAGCCCTAAAAAGGTGTATTATAAGTGAAATAGTATACATGCTCTTAAAAACATTCATATTTTAAAAGCTTGATAAAATTGATATGCTTCACTGCAAATACTAAAATATGCAAAACAACATTAAGCATAAAAAATAACTGTTGAACCTTTTAGAAGTTAAAAAAAAATTGAATAATATTACCTACATTAGAATAATTGTTTATTGTGTAGTGTACTCAAATTTTTTGAATGGCTATGCCAGTGGTATTTAAATAGGCACAAAATAGCGTTTTAATTTCAAAATATGCAAAAATATGCAACATAGGTACTATTTCGTACCTTCTTGGTTTTCTGAAACAACTTTATGGCTCACATAGGCACCTCTAGGATCTCTCTCGAAAAAAATTTAAATGCTAGAAGTCCTGTCCATGAGTAATTTAAATTAGGTACCTATCTAAGGTAGGTACTATTATTATTATCATTATTACTATCCATATTAATTTGTGATCCTGAGTGAAATACAACTTTATAAAGTTAAATAAAGTTACATTACAAGTTAAATAAAGTTTAAATGTATATAATGACGAATCCAACAGTCAATTTAATGACGAGTGTTTGATACTTATTGATACCATGATCAGCTTAATATGCTAGAATCTGCAGGGATTCCCAACCTTTTTTATTTGACGGAACACTTATTGGTCTTTTGTTAATGTTCGAGGTACACACTGAAAATAATTAAATACCTAACTATATACTTATTTATTTATTAGAGATTATGAACTATAAGATATTATTTATTTATTTAACTATAAGGAATAATTTCAATGAACATATTTATTTAAAAGTGAGATAAAAATAAGAACAAATATTTTAATTAAATACAATTTAATGGAACTTTACAAATTGTATGCGATGTGTAGTCTGGTTTTTATGTATTTTACATATTTCCTGTATTTTGGGCAACGAATCGGGTTCAAATTTTTTTTCGATGACTCTACAACAAAATAAGAAAATGGACTTTGAAATTTGAAATTCGAAATTTGGTCAAAAACTGGTTTTGAGTAAAAATTCCCGTT